CAGATTTTGTTTCAACACTTTTGCTTTGCCAGTAAAAAAGTCCACAGAAAAAAAAAAAAAAAAAGATAAAAAAAAAATGAAGATACATGTAGCTTCAGACTAACGTCTCATAAAATCGCTTTGTTTTTTTGTCCTCAGTTCACTAACACCAACATTCCACGAGATGGCGCTGTTTTGTAAAGCTAGAGTCGCTATTGGCGGTGGGGTTAAAAAAAAAAGGAAGAAAATGTTTTTTCATCACGCTGATCTCTCCATGTAACCAGGCAACACACATGTGTAATGCTCACATTATGAAACCAGCGAGTGAACCTTTACAATCAGGCAGGTTAAGAAGAATAATCATTGAAACTAGTGAAGAGAAAATGTATTTTAAAATAAGACATGTTAATTTTAAACTACTAATAAAATAAATAAATAACGACAAGTCATTTTTTCATTGTGTACTGAATTCAAGAGTTGTCTTGCTTAGTCATGTTGTCAATATAAGTGCGTACTCTAGAGGGATATGCTGATGTAAACCAAGCTTAAAGTTTTGATGACAGCTATATTGCAAGTTGTATTTACAGGAGATTATGTAATAGCAAGATTCACATTTTCGCTTTTATTCTTTGTACTGTAATTTGTTGACAGATCAAGTTATTGTGAAGGAAAAAAGACGGCACTGCAGAGCTCAAAGGGGGAAAAAAACAGAAATAGGAACAATCTCCTTAAGAAAATAAAAAACTACATACATTGCAGGAGTTATAGTGCATTCTTCCTCCACCTCCCATTAAATGTATTTATGTTAGACCACAGACTCTCATCCACGTCACAAAGAATATCTTCTCTTGTGATGCAGAGTTTCAACTTGCCACAAACCATGTAGGGCACACAGCAGCACGCATGCGGAAGAAAATGCAGCTTTCTGGCCTACATGTCAAAAACACCTTGTATGGAGGAAAAACTAACGCTGTGCATCACCTTGAACACACCATACAAATTCCAATACAAATTTACATACATAGTGGTGGCCGCAACACTGCTGCTACATGCTCATCCAATCAGTGACTTGATGCAATCTGCTTGGTTTTCTTGGATAAAACATTGTTTTAGGACCAATTTGAACGATAACATCAACTTCACGGTGTTTGACTGAACTGACTGTTTGTAAAGTGTCTTGAGATGACGTGTGTTGCGAATTGGCGACATATAAATAAAACAGAGTTGAACTGAATTGTGCCAGTCCCTCACATGCGATCTCAGCTACAAACACGCTGCGGTTTTCACGTTTCAAAACATATATAGATAAGTTAAAAGGCCATGGTGTGTGTGTGTGTGTGTGTGTGTGTGTGTGTGTGTCCCGATTATCCATCTTATCGTCGTCAGCTCCTCTCGTTGACGATGCAGAGTTTATTTTGAAACCGGATACCGGAAGTGCCAACTTTTCGTTGTTTTCTGTGTAATTGACCAATAGGCTACGTTTCTGTCCACGCATACAGGTGTGCACGGCTGCGCATACTGGAGCAGCGTGGGATCGGGTGTTTGCGTTAGGAGCGTCTGATTGTTAGTGTGACACGGACGGAAAGGAGCTTTCCTCCCCACCGGCGGAGCGGCTTCTGTCTGCAAACCGCGCAACTAGGGCACATGCATTCAGTCAGCACACAGCAGCGGCAGCGCACCCAACAAGCCGCTGTGATCTGAGAGCCTCTGCGCGGCGCCGGCTCGCTCTTTCGTAACGGAGTCGGGGACAGCTTCAGCGTTTTTGCGGGACAATTTTGAGCTTTGAGTAAAGGGATAGGTCTGTGAAAAGGCAGGCGTGTGTAGGAGGGTTTGCATCCCCTATTTGTTGTTGTTGTTTTTGTTTTAAACCCCCCTTCGTATTGCTCTCTGGTTTTCATCCCGGATCCCGCAAGATGCAGCCTCTTACCTGACGCATCTGTGGCACCACAGCTGCTGCTGCTGCCTACAGGTCTGTATCTGTAACATCTCTTTTGAGACATTTTCTCTGACTAGAATTAACAGTTAACCTGGAGATCGCATGTGCTATTTTGTTGTTGTATTTTTTTTTTCTGCTTCAGAGCAGACAGATCTGTCTCTGTATGATACCGTTTAGATGATCTGATAATAGCAGGCTCTATTTTTTTTTTTTTTTTGCTGTGTTTGCACACTGCCCATCTATACATCTGATGGCAGTTATTTTGCTGCTGCTGCTGACACAGCTCGCATGCAGACTCGCTCAGTTTTCATAGATTTTGAAAGAAATCCGGATAGCCAACAGGAGCAGAGCTGCAGCGTCCGGAGCAGATTTAGACGGGCGCCCTTTCCTGCAGAGACAGTAGCTGAAACTCATTTAGGACATCTGTTTATTAGTGGATTTATTTTCATTATTTTTTTCTTTGCTACTTGTCATTTGTTTAGTGAATGTCTTCTGTCGACCTGCTGTAGCTCTCCTGTGGTCATCATCGTCATCATCATCAGGATCAGGATCTGTCACTTCAAACAGGACAAGGTAGACTTCGGCTCATCATCGAAAGTGGCCCCTGTCAAGAGAGAAACCTGCTGAAGATGACTTCATCGGAGCCGATTGCCTGAAAGCAGCATGAGATAACTGAGGACTATCACGCTAACTGCTGATTCGAGCTGTTTTTCTCTTTTGAGGGCTGGTCCAAAACGATGTTCCTGTGTGTGAGCTGACTGACAGCGGGGGTTAGGGGGGGGCCCTCGGGGTTGCAGTGGTGTTCTAGCACGGGTGACACAGCCCAGCAGCTCAGACGCAGACGCCGCCGGAGAGAGATGGCTCGCCCCGGGTCGGGGCTGCTGGTGCCCATGAACGGCGTGGGGTACCCGCCTCAGAACCTGGCCAGGGTGGTGGTCTGGGAGTGGCTGAACGAGCACGGGCGCTGGAGGCCGTACAGCGCGGCGGTGTGCCACCACATCGAGAACGTGCTGAAGGGGGACGCCAGGGGAAGCGTGGTTCTCGGGCAGGTGGATGCCCAGCTCTCCCCTTACATCATCGACCTGCAGTCTATGCACCAGTTTCGGCAGGACACAGGTAAGAGGCAGGGGACCCTGATGACTTGGTTGTTGCTTTCCAGGAGCGTGGAGGCGCTGCAGTGGAAATGTATTATTGTCCCTTGCAGACTTTTTTTTTTTTTTTTGGTTTTTTAGTAATCTAAGACAAAGATAACCTGAGTAGATATGGATCAGTACTCATATGATGATTTAATTTAGCAGCTGGTAAACGCTATCCAAACCAAACAAAAGTGAATAAGTAATATCCTCTTAAACCTAATTACAGCCTGTTCCATCCCCCTTGTTGGCAACAACTGCTGCCAAGCGTTTGTGATAACTGGGAATCAGACTTTCGTGTCGTAATTCAGCCACGTTGGAGAGATTTAGAGCAATGAGGGGAGATCTCAGTCTGATTTATGTTTGGATTTCAACCAGACTTCTCCAAAATTCTCCACTTATATATATATTTTTATTTTTGTTTAGTTTTTGAGCGAGTCAGGGGTGGACATGCTGCTGTCTGTGGTTTGGATCATTTCTCTGCTGCATCATCACCCAAGTGTGTTTGAGCTTTATGTCACAAAACGGTTGCTGAACATTTTCCTGCGGGATTTTCTGTCAGAGAACACACACACACACACACACACACACACACACACACACCCACACACACACACACACACACACACACTCACTCACACCTTCCAAAAAGTTCCACTTTTGTTCTGGTCAATCCACATGATTTTTTTTTTGTTTGTTTGTTTTTGGGGGCTTGGGGGGTCATCTAAATGTTTTAAGGTAAATGTGAGATGAGGCTTTTTGTTCCTTTTGGTCATCTGTAGAAAGCTCCCTTTTTTGACTCTTTCTTGCTCTTGGAAGCAAAAACAGAAGAAGTAAATGTATGTAGGCAAATCATTTTCACAGCACTTCAAGAGTAGCTTCATGTCTTAAGCAGGCGTGGGTCAGTTTGAGATTTTCACACTCTGGTAAGTTTGAGTAAAAATACCACTGGACCATCCTGTTAACACTTTGCTGTATTAATATTTTGTACCCTTCATTTGCTGAGGCGGATGTATGTAAGATGCAGAACTGAGAAGCAAACAGCACTAATGTGCTTCAAGTGGAGTTACCATGTTTTTATTTTATGTTGACTCGTCATCCAGCAGTTTGAATGCCACGACCTTGACTAAGGTCAACAGGAATGAGCACCGTTTAGTCAGTGCCTTTCTGTTCACTCTCCTTTCAAAGACAACGATTCCACTTGCGAATGTGTCACAGGACAGTTTTTACATCTTCATAAGCTGACAGGAGGTACAGGATGACGCCAGGATTGATTTCATCCGACGTAAACATGATCACCACAGTTGTTTTTTTAATTTTTAGTCATTTTTATAAGAAACCTAACAGTAATTTAAGCAAGTAGTGGAGGAAGGAATACGTTCACCTTTGATGACCTTCCATTGGGAAAGTGGTGCTGAAAAAAAAGGAACATGTAAAACAACATTTTACACAACCTAAGTGCACTGCCTCCTACCTCCATTTCTGATGTGAATAATCATTTACTTCTAAATCACCATGCAAACATTGGCGACAATTTAGCAGTTTCTAAAATGGCCTTTGCATAAACCGTGACAGCTTTTCTGAGACTGGAAGTGTCTTTATATGCTAAAAGTTTGAGTTGGTTCCCTTTTTGCACCAGCAGTTAGCTTCTGCCTCGAGGATCAACTCATCTGCTTTTGTACAAAATGCAGATGAAAAGAGAGTTTGTTATAGCTGGTCACATGATAACTGCTTGAAACCTCTTAACAGAGCCTTTCTAAAAATTCAAAATGGTGGAGTTCACAACTTCTGTTCAGTAATGCGAACTTTCATGTTTCATTTGTAGGCTTAAATGTTTCTGACCAGCTAGAAATCAGGACAGCCACAAAATGAGTTTTATATCTGAAGCTTTATTGTGAGCAGTGGTCACATCGGCAAAAAAAGGAAAAAAAGAACTAACCACTTAAACACATTTCATAATTATCTATCATAGGCTGTGGGTTTCCTGGTCTTCTTCTGTTTGTTTTTTTTTGTTGTTTTTTTTATTCGTAGACGTTATGCAACATGAAAGCGTCACGTGGCTCACAGACGTACACGTGGGATCTGCAGAAGGTGACCCCGCAGTGCATGGAACTGTTCTGTGTCACCTTTAATGGGTTTGCTGTGGTTAATTTGCGAGTGCATCATTGTATTAGCGTACAGACGGAACAGAAGCATGTCTCTAATTCGGTAAGGGCTCTGCCTCATTGAATTAGATCCATCTGAAGTTTTACTGAGATGTGTGTGTGTGGGGCTGGCAACTGTCTGGTTTTACAAGCAAACATTGACTAAACACAGATTATTTTTCTCCGGTTTGACTTTATTAGATGAGCAAATGTTCTGTTTTTTTTTGCCAAGTTTTGTGAAAAAAGTTTATGGAGTTCCTGGTGATTGTATAGTACCCTTCGAAAGTATTCACTGAAAATATCTGATGTGAATTTGTATTCAATCAAACCATCTCCACCATGAAACACGGCGCTGGACGCATCATCCTCTGGGGATGCTGTTATTCAGGAGGGACAGGGTAGTAAAGCCGAAGTCAGTGGCGTAGTTGGATGGAGGTAAACGAGGCAATCTTAGAGGAAAACCAGTCAGAGGCTGCAAAAAGACTCGGATGGAGGTCTGCCTCGGTCATCGGTCGCACAGCCTGGGCTAATATGGAATCCCTTAATCAAATTGCATTAATGTGTTTGAATAGATCAGGCCTAAATCCAATTTAGAACTTGTGCCGAGACTTGGAAACTGATGTTCGCAGAAGTTCGCCACCCACTCAGACAGAGCGCTGATCGCAGGGAAATGTTGCTTTTAGACAATTTACTCAAAGGGACTGAACACAAATACCAAAAAAACTAAGTCCTTTATTAGTAAAAGACTTAGAAAAACAGCGTACATTTCACAATTACCCCCTAATATCTTGGTCTAGTGCGCAAAATCCCTCTTCCACTGAAGGGGTACGAAAACCTTTTCAAGGCACCTTGCATTTTGCAGTATTAGTTACGGGAGGAACGGGGATTCGTAGTAAATAACGGCTTATTTCAGCTCCATTTGAATAAAACACGTGGAAACGAGCGCGGCTACTTTTCCTCGCATCCGTTCAACCCTGGAATGCTCTCCAAAGATGTCAGGCTTAGTTTCTGATCCTTCTCGGTGGCATTTCCCCGTCTAACAGAGTGCAGTGCACAGCCTCACACGTGCCTCCAGTTTGACTGGCTGTGAGATGAGCCAGTAAACACTTTGTCAGCCATTATCCCAGAGCAAGAGCTGGGCCTGACGTTTATCTCGTCTCCCGGTGCCGTTCGGAGCGCTGTCTTCACCTCCGTCTGGGATCAACCTGTCACGGCGCAGTCTGACGAGAATCCTCTGAACTCTCACCCCCCCTCCCCCCCGCCTCACCCGCTCCTAAACATGTCCAACCTCCAGCCAGGATATCGTCTTTGACGCATCGTGAGCTTGTCAAACATGGTGTTCGACGTATGCACTGCATCGCTGTTGGGAAATCCTGTTCACTAGGGGAGTTGGTGATCTCATCCTCTGAGGCCAGTTTCAGCAGGAAATGGGAGTCAAATTTATTTGTGTGGCACAATTGGGCAATGAGACGGTTCACCATGCTCTTTAATATATTTTGGGTCAGTGATTTATCTGTTCCTGGTTTTAGTCAGAATGTGAGCAGCAGCGTTCTGGATGAGCTGCAGCTGTCTGATTTTTTTGGTTTTAGGCAGACTTGTAAAGACGCTGTTGCAGTAATCGAAGTGACTAAAGATAAACGAATTGTAGTTTCTGTACATCTTGCTGGGACATTAGTCCTCTAATCCTGGAAATGTTCTTCAGGTGATAAAAGGCTGATTTTGTAGCTGCCTTTATGTGGCTCTGAAGGTTCAGGTCTGAGTCCATCACTTCACCCAGATTTCAGACCTGATCACTGGCTTAGCTGTAATACCTGAAGCTGTGTGCCAACTCTTTAGGTCCAAAGATAATGACTCCAGTTTTGTTTCTGTTCAGCTGGAAATAAGTTATCGAAGAATTCTGCTGTCCATGTATGAGAATGAAAAGTTTACAGGATCCCGTCTGCGTGTGTGTGTGTGTGTGTGCGTATGGTGTTCCATGCGGTGTTTCTGCCCCGTCCCAGTGAGCTGTGCAGGGTGTGTGGGTTTGGGAGGATCTCCTGTGGGCAGCAACCAGGCCGCCTAATGAGACTGCAGGTTTAGTTTACAGTGCGCTCCCTGTAATCAGAGCGTCATGATGACAGCGCTGGCACCGCAGATGATGCTGCAGGGTCCCTCTCTTCAGCTTGGCAGTCCAAACACATGTGTACTTAATTTGCAGCGGGATGAATCACCTCGGTGAGGCCGGCCCTGCTTGTGTGAAGGCAAAGGCGACGTCTGGCTGCTGGCCAATCGGGATCGATCTGTTCTCCTCCCCAGATGCACGGCTGAAAATCTGAACACTGCTTCGGACAGATCCCGTTTCACTACAGCGCTCCCTGGGTGAAACAGACAGACCCGTCTGCCGTCATACACCAACGCTCCCGGCCTGTCAGATGGACGCTACGCTGATTGATTCTGCCGCCTGGCTTTTAAGCACTCACATCTTCAATATTTTCCCTTTTTATGACGAGGGGTACGAGGCACAGTTCAGCTCATCTGCATTTGTGTGTGTGCGTCGCTCTCTCGCTTGTTGTGACCTTTTTTCTTAGCGAACAGAAATTTGCTTTGTGGGACGCAGAAATTGAAATGCAGCACGTGTCAACCGAGGATGATCTTTCCCACCGACATTGTGCAAATTGAATTTATATCCTGATTATTTGCTCGGGCGGCTTCCCCATGAGTTTAACTCGGCGTTCAAGTTTGATATTTGCTGATCATAGGGTGACTGAAATATTAATTTCCAAGTAAACTATGAAATAAAATTCAGCATCGAACAAAATGTACAGCACCTTGCAAACATATGCTCGTGTCAGAGATTTTC